GGCTAGAGACTAAGAATCGTAGAAAAGTGGACAGTATAATTTTATTCGTATAGACTACACAAAAGTATCTGCCGAGGACGGATTTTTCTTGGTAATTTGTGCCCGGAATTCGTTTAATAGTTCCAAAGATTTAGTTGTGGGTCTGTAGTGCTTCCTTGATAATTCCCCGTGTGAATTACTTAGCCTTTACGTCTGTGAAGTTGAGAATCTGTAAAGGCTAGAGGAAGAAAAGATTTCTTGGAATACAGACATTATTTAGCTGTACATTGACATTCACGGCGTTTTAATGACACAAGCCAGGGACTCCGCTGCACACTGACTGTGGGAACAGCTAAAAATACTGTATTAGATAGGGCCGCGTTATTTTGATGCTGTTTGATAGCTTCAAGGAATAGACGTGAACGAGAGACGTGTGGCATTGCTCCATTGCTCTTACGACCCCCACGATGTCTGTTCAGTGTGGGCACCAAGCACTAGGAGTGTTAGTAGAGAAACAGATTTTGTGCGTGCAGATGTTTTCATGGGCGCGCAGTCTGGCATCGCTCGAACGCTGGGATCGCAGATTTGAATTCCGAATGTGTTCCTAGTTTTCATGTACCGTACTGTGTAGGCAGATGTCTTGTGACGAGCCGATCTACCACATAAGGAAGAATACGAACTGACTAACAGGTTAAATGACAGATAAATCCCTATAATATTAACTACAGGAGATGATAGACGAAAATTAAAATAAAAAGGAAGTAAACACAAGTATAAGGGAAGGAAGAATAAGAAGAACAAATAAAGATAAGTTTTTGTATCTGAAGCGCTATCGAATATGCCCAGTCTTACTGACAAAATAATAGCATTCGTTTCGCTTATTTTGGTAGTTAACTGTAGGCGAATAAAGTTGAAAGCTGTTTATCTTCCGAAATATCAGAATTTCTTCCCATGTATATTTATTTTTAACAAGTAATTCCTTGATAAATCTTAGAATGGAGACCATGACATTTATTAAAATAACAAGATGTTCCTGGAAGCATGTCGCGTCATTACCAAGAGCAAATGCTCTCTGTTGATATGAAGGCTAGCTTATTAAAACACGGAAATTAAAATATTTTAATAAGATGCATAATGAGAAATACATACAACAGTTAGTCGAATAATTTGAAGGGAAGATACCACTTGAAAAACCTAGGCATAGATGGGTGAATAATATTAAACCGTTTTTACAGAAATAAAATATGAGGGTGTGGATTAGATTCATATGGCCTATAATATGGTCGACTGGCGGAGACTTGATGGATGAATGAGATGTTTTGAGACCATCTAAATATGCTTAAAATAGACGCATAAATAGATGCGCAAATGGTAGGAGACCAAAGACCAACAAATAAAATATTTGGTTGTCCTGCGAAGCGGGAACAAGCAACGGGGAAATGGTCATGACTCGTGAAATGTTACGAAGTAGCAGGTAATTTTCGGACGCTTGTGAACCAGCCTCTTGTAAAGAAAAAGGTGGCAAGCCACAGCAGCATCACGAGGCGCTGTTCCTAGATACCTCGCTGCCCTCTCAGACTATGCAGACCTGTCAAGGCGAATCATTGGCACGTCTACATTTCTTTTCAGCGAGAACCGCAGGTTTCAGGAGGCAACGCGGAGCTATGCATCATGACGTACTGACGCACGGGATCAGACGCGGGTCTATTTTGCGTATACAAAACAGCAGCGCACGTATCATGTCGCAATTCGAAGGAGACCAACTTCATGGTCTTCTTATGGAGAACCTGGCAGTCACTCAGCTGGTAACAAAATTTCCACTCTTTTATAGAAATGAAGGCTCATTAACGAGCCCGATGAATCTAGTCCACATCTTTAGATGCTAAATTTTTAAGATTAATTTTGATACATCATAATAATGAAAATAATAATTCTTCACAGGTTTCATAAGTAGTCTCTTCGTTTCAGGATTTTTGACAAGATTTATGTACGAATTTCCCTCAGGTAAACTAAATGGGAATCACAAATAATCTCAATAATGATTTTAATATCTCATGAAATTACTATCAGTTCCAACATCTGTTTTGATTTAAGTACGTTTTATATTATATATTATTTTAGATTAGTATTATTAGATCTGGTCTAAATGCCACGAAACTTGGCATAGGCATTGAAAGGCAGACGTTGCATTGAACTGTGTATTCGAAGTAAGTTTCGTCGAAATCTGTTAAAGGACTGAAGCTTATAGACTGCAATAAAGTTTATTTAGGTTCTTAAATAAATCGGCCCTTAAATTGGAACAAACTGAACAAAATTAAAATGGTTATAATAATTTAATCCATAATAGTGAATTTGACTGACGTCAACCCAGTAGTTGGGGCGTTGTTGGTGACTGACGGGCTGATGGAAAGACATTGAGGAATATAGCAGGAAGTTCGTTCTTTTTCAGAACTCCCCTAAACGACAATTGGTGAGCGTATTGGAATAAAATGGCGGACATTTGTCTAAGTTTCTGTTTTATTGCTTTAGACTTCATTTTCAGAAACAGCGAGCTGCATGCCATTTATTCGAGGAACAGAAGTGTTTACCGTTGCGATATTTTCGAATCATTCAGTTACGGATAAATTTATGATCATCCGATAAAAATGCAGCCGTTTTAAATAGCCTTGAAGCAAAAGATGGCGTCATCGGGGCGAGTAACTTCATCTCGTCGTGAGTTTAGAAATGTTCACCCAAAGGCTGAGGCGTTTCGTGTTTTTTTTTTTTAGACATAGGCCAGTCACGGTCGAATATATTTTAAATAAGCGACTGTTGATCTCACTTAATGCTGTCCATACTAGCATCTTACATATTTCCGTAAATTTCTCAAAATAAGTGTTAGTCTATACAATGGGCAGAGCCCCCGAATTTGTGACAATGATTTAATATTTACCCAGTGCCTGATGATAAGGGTCAGCCTTATCTTACGAACCGCACAGGGTAGAAAGCGTTCCTTTTACCTGAGTATGAAGACACAAGGAGTCTCCAGAAAGCCGTACATATTTTCGATCCAGTAACCAAAGATGGGCTATTATTTACTCGGGGGGCCAGAACTACTATTTCTAAGACACCGCGGGCTGGAGGGTTTCCCGAGAAAATCTCAGCATTTCAAAAGTTGTTAAAGGGTTATCAATTGTTTGCTTGATTGACCATAATTTAAAGATTATCAAAATACATAAAATTTGTTTTATCAATAATTAATACGGGCATGATATCCTGAACTCTGACTGGTGATCTCCATTCGACTTACTTGTGTCCAATTAAAAGTGTGCAAATTAAATAAATGAGTAGCTTACATTTACGTAAATATCTCGATTTTCTTTGTGATTACAATACATTTGTATAATATGTATAAGGAAATGAAAATTAGTCAGAAACTTGTTATTGGGCTAATAATAACAAAAAAGAGTCACAAGATGGAATGAATTTTGTCAAGGACCGTAGTTTTCTCACCCACTGTTTCAAAATCTATGATCTTAACGTGTTGTCTTGAAATGTAGATGTTCAAGCGGTGAAAATGTAGAGTGTGGTCTTGTGGGTTATGACGCCATTGTGGAATTGTAGGTGGTAACCAATGTTTCGAAGGAACGAGTCGCTGGTAACAATATACAAGACTATACGGCCTCATAACCCAGAGACCAAACGCTGTCCACACTAATATATTGCCTTGATTCGTGAAACAGCTCAGGGTCACTTGGAAACCAGTTGATTCACCCATCCAGTATCTGTCGTGGCGTTGTTTTATGCGTCTAACATCTGTTATTGTGTCTTGGCTGCTCCGAATTCAAGATGATCTTGTTCACAGTGCTGCCCTCAGTCACAGTCCTTAAATATTATCCTGTCTTGATGAAAAGTACTGCTCTTGTAGCAGACTGCTGTTTCCTAGGTCGTTTGTTTGCTGTTCATTGCGTGAAACTCAACATAACTGAATGAGCTACACAGTTCTGTGCCGTCTCTCTGCCTCGGATACACATGTCGTTGACAGGAAGAACGAAAGTACTGGTTTAGATTCTTTCGTGGATCACTACAGAAAGTCATAAAGCCACGTATTTGTTTGGATACAGACACGTGTTCTTTAGTAGTATGTAAACAAATATGATGTAGGATTCCTTGAATTTGTATATCATTGGAAGTACTTTAATTTCGGAATTCTGGAGCCAAGCAGTACACGCGAGTTATGTAAAAAGATAGTAATTTTTGTTAATATACACACGACAAAACTGTTCTCAATTGCCTTTAGATTTTAGGAATAATTAAATCCGACATTCTCGAACAGGGACAGGTACTTTCTCGAGTCAATGGTAACACCGCCAGGCTGTACAAGAGATACATGAAGCCTGTCTTCACATAGCCTGGCCGTGTTGTCGTTATTATTGTTATATTTTAGACTACTATCTTAGTGGGATACGGTTGTATATTGCGGTGGCTTAATTTAAGGTAATATTCCGGTATTTCCTTGGAGAGAGGAAAACCACGTCAGTTGGGTTGGCCGGTCTCAACTCGGGAACTCCAGAACACGAAACAGGAATGCTAACCTCTCTGAATGCGAAATTCTGCCTTAGCGACTGACTAATCATCTTAAAACTTTTCATTTTAATTCTGAATCCAGTTTGAACCATTTGACTAAATGTATTAATTTCCCTGATGCCACTGATGATGATCTCTTGAGGTCGAAACGCGTATGGCAATAGTGTCTTATTATAGTGTTAATAGTTGTTGGTTTGCTTACTCTATAGACTGACTATCAGTTTTTTTGGGAAGGGCTTTGTTGTATAAAGTCATATCCATCATTTAATTGGGAGACCTCATATCTTGTGCCGTCTTCATAGGTTTTCGCTCGTGTGATATGGTCCCGGGACGTGGAATGTTTGCGCAGACCTGTACCAGAAGGCTTCTAAGGTCAGGGAGCAACTCTTTAACCAAAACACTTACTTACTTTCAAAGACGTGTTAGCGCATTTGTCACGTGCCTGCCTGGCCTACCTTTGCAAGCCTTCCTGTGCGTGATGGGCTTGGTCGGGTCCCTGTAGTAGCCCTCCTTGCAGTAATGACAGTGTCTCCCCGCCGTGAAGTGGCGACACTTAAGACACACACCACCACTCAAGCGCCCAGACAGTTTGTACAGCTCCATGTTGAAGCGACAGCGCCTGGCGTGCAGATTGCAGTTACAAGCTGAAACGACAGAATTAGAACACGTGTCAGCAATTTAAATGTAATCACACCTCTGTCGGACGCCGAAAATGAACACGAATTTACCGTATTGAATTATGAACTGATACAGAAGTGTTTAGGGGGACGTTTAATCGTAGTTAAATATCTCATTTATCATCTGACATTACCTTGTGGACAACAACCTATTATTAGGACAAGTTTAAGAATGAAATCGGATTCGCACTTGCGTGTTCTGGAGGACATGACAAGAAGCAGCCTGTTTAACCTTTTCGTCATCTTGATGAAACAATTCGACGCATCTCGTTATCCGTAACAATATTAGTAAAGTTTTTCGATTTAAGAAGCTCTTCATTGTGTGATTAACTTTATTCTTGGGTTACTTTTATCTGCTTGGGCTCATATACGTATTCTCCCGAGTGTTCTTTAGGCCTACTTTCTGACATAAGTATTTTGAAATTAACGGCTGTAAGTTATCGATAAAAGACACACACTGCCTGCCGTGTGATGCCTCTCTGTAATGCATAATGATAGCCTGACAGAGATTGTAGTG